GGGACATGGTTTAGCGAGAACCACTGGTGATGGGTGAATGGTTGGACTGGATGATCCTGTGGGTCTTTTCCAACCTTAGTGATTCTGTGATTCTATGACATGGTCTTGAGGCAGAAACTGGAAATTTATAGGTCTGTAATTAACTGTTCCATTCACTGTGGTGGCTGTAGAGGTGCACTGACCCAATTTGCATGGCAAAGCTTGGCATGGAGCACCCTGCTTCTGCTCAGCCTATTTGGCCCCTGAGAAGATGGATCCCATTGAACATTGGGTAGTGCTGGCTGAAGAAGAGAAGGGGACAGCTTAGAGATAGAGAAGAAGCACCCAAGGGAAATGTCCTTGGGCCACCACAGAAATCAATAGGTTCTTTACATACTTTTCCTGAAGAAATTGCTGCCAGCCATGGCTGGAGCCATACGTTTCTGTGCTGGAGTGATGGGTAGCATGCCTTGTTTAAGGTGTCCTATGAGCTATCTTCCCACCTCCATGCTTTACTCCTTCCTTTGGGCACTCAGACATGCACTGCCCTGGGGAACAGCTCCCAGGGACAGTCACTGTCCCAGTCCACATCTCCTCCATGGGCACCAGGGCCAGAAGATTATCTTACCATCTAATTAGCTTCATAGTGATGGCCACTGAGGCAGCAGACAAAAGCAAGGCAATGAGCCACACAGCCACGACTCAGCACCAGATCCCCTCCATTATTCACGGTGGATCTGCATCAGGTGTCATGCCTTTATCTGGGGCTTTGATAAATAGTGCTAATCAGCTGCATGTTAATTATTCACTGTGGCTCACCTTTCCAAACCCTCCAGCCAAGGCGCTGCTTCTCCCCGCTCCTCTCCCTTTTCTCCAAGACTTTTGTCTGCCTGTCCTCCTCCAACTCATTTCTATGAAGTCCTATGCTGCAGTTATGGCACTTGTAAACTGAGGGCTTAATTATTTTTGTAATGTGCATTGCCAGCTTTCCCTTGAGGGAGGTGCCCAGCACCATATTCCAGGGCTTGAACAGTGTTGGGTGCTTTGGCTGGGTATTGCAGGAGTACCCATGGCTGTGTCTTGGCAATGATGTGCTGGTGTGTGCACCTCTCAGCCAGGAGGAGAAATGCTGCGAGTATGAACATAATCTCTGGCTAATCCCTTTATATTTCTGACTTGGAGAAGTCTTTTGCAAACTGGTTCCAGACATTGGTGCTCGTATCCAAAACAAATTCCTTCCTCCATCATTAGGCAGCCTGTAGTGTTGGACTAGGGCTCTACTACCATTGTCTCCTTTGGGCTCCTGGTTGTCTTTTGCCTCAAGGAATTTCAGCCTTCCCAGCCCATCCTTCAGCCAATTCTCCATTCCCTGAGCCCAAAGAATGTGGCCCTGGGGCAAGGTTTGCTGGGGATTCCACTCCATTACTTACTCGTCATGCCATGGGTGCCTGAGACAAGTGCAGGCTGGAAGCTACAACTTTGGATCTAAAGGAGATGTGTCCTTCCTGAGACTGGATTCCCAAAGGGCACTGGACACATGCATGGGTTCTGAGCTGAGCCCTCATTCCCATAGATACCTGTACTGCAAAGAGAAGTTGAAGCTCCTTTTGGGATTTGGCTTACCACTGTTTTCAAGGGAAAATAAACTTGGGCAGTTGTTCCCATTTAGAATCGTTTGAGTTGGAAGGGACCCTTAAAGGTCATTTGCATGAGCCCATGACACAGTATTTCATCACAGTCATTAGTTGATGGCTGAGGATACACGCTGGTTTGGTAGTGTTCTGAAGAACAAATTCACCCTCATAATTACCCATAATAATGGGTTATTTGGCCAATGGTGAGCCATTTTTTGAGTCCTCATTTTAAATTTATGATGTCTTGATGGAAGCCTAGAGCACTGCCAGGGATGAGGCACCCACAGCTCCTGGGCAACCTATACCAGAGCCTCACCACCCTCATACTGAATTATTCCTTGCCTATCACTGAATCCCCTGATAAGGAATCCTTCTCACCCTTCCAGCAGCCCCTTTAGGTACTGGAAGGCTGCAGTAAGTTCTCCCCAGAGACTCCAGGAAGAAGACCCCCATTTCTCAGCCTGTCCCCATAGGAGAGGTGCCCCCAGCCCTTTGAGCATCCTCATGGCCTCCTCCGGACCCTCTCCAACAGCTCCATATCTTTCTTATGGGAAAAAAAAAAAGAAAAAAGAAAAAAAAAAACCCACATTCATTATTCAGCATGCTGAAGTAATAATTGAAAACAGCTGCAAAAAGTCCCTGTAATGAGTGTCCCTTTCCACCTGTGCTGCCAGCTTGGCACTCCTCTCCTGGACGGGGCTGCAAGCACTAATTGTTCCTCATGCACCTCGTTGCTACGGGGATGTCTCTGGGTTCATCTTACCTCTGTCTGTAAATGACAGCACGAGGAAACTGTTCCTAACCTGAGGTGCTTTTTAGTTTAGCAGAGAGAAATGGAGCAGGTAATTAAAAAGCTCTGGAAAGCTTCAGCAGGGATCTGGGGATGACCTACGTCTCTCTGACATCAGCCCTGTGCCATTATGGCTGATGGCAGAATGCTCCCAGTGTCCTGCCTTGAGTCATCAACACGACAAGAGCATCCTCCAGCCAGTGCTTGGCCCCAGAGCTGCTGGGGAGGAGGAACTCTGCTTCTGAAGGCATATGCACTCCAGAAACAGGAGCAGCAGTTCCAGCCTGTAACAACGAAAAGCAGGAAAACACACTGGATAAATATTTCTATGCGTTGTTCCAAGCCAGGGGGAGTTTGTGGGTAATCATCAACACCCAACTGGCAGCCTCTGATTCACTGGTAGTATTTTTTAATGCAGTTGGAATAATAGAGAAATCCCAGCACAGCAAAGTGTTCATACAGGGTGAATGAAGAGAGCTGGGCTAACCTGGCAGCAGTCCTAGGAAAATCATAGCAGTGCTCATAGAGTGTTCAATGAAAAGCAGTTGAACACAATTAGTGGCATTCCAGGTAGGTTCATGAGGAAACAGAGCCTTCAGAATGGGCTTGGTTTGCTTCTTTTGAGCCCATTTGTTGGGTAGCTGTGTGCAAGGAATAGGCTCTTATAGCATTATTGGTTTAACCATGCCTGCTATCAATGCTGCATACTAACAAGGGAAGATTAATTGGGAAATTCTAAAAATAGGGCATCTGTTGAAAGTCACCACTGAATGACAGTCATGGTACAGTTTTGCTGTTCAAGATATGTCTACTACATCACTGACTGCAGTGTAAAAACAAGTTGCAGTAGGGTTTTGAAGTGATGTGAAGACTGAGAGCAGTCAGTCACCAGGGAGCAGAGGAGGCACAAGAACTGTGAGGACCTTGGGATGTGCCTTAGCCAAACCAAAGGGCCAGAAACACTCCAACCAACACAACCTGCAACACTCTTACTCCAACACAGCCTGCAGTCCAGGAGCAGGGAACAGAGACTCACCCGTGGGTGTTTATAACAGAAGCAGGGATGCTTGTTTGTTCCAGTTTCTCCCCAGAATTTGGTCTAAGAACAATCATGGAATTGTGGAACCATTCAGGTTGGAAAAGACCACTCAGATAACCAGGTCCAACCCCAGCCACCCCATGCCCACTGCCCACGTCCCTCAGTGCCACATCCCCATAGTTCTGGAGCACCTCCAGGGATGGTGACCCCACCACCTCCCTGGGCAGCTGTGCCACTGCATCACTGCTCTTTCAGAGAATAAATTTTTCCTAGTATTTAGAATCATAGAATTGTAGAGCCATCTAGGTTGGATCTCAGTGGAAGATAAAGACATGCAGAATTCACCCTGGGCACTTCAAGTCCATCCAGCACCCCAGGACATGGCTGCAGCCTGTACCACCAATTGCTACAGAAGGTAGGGTTGATCAGGTGTGTGCAGCTCAGGACCAAATGAGTCAAAAGAAAACTGAGGAACATAACTAAAGAGATGAGAATGATACAATAGAAGGTCATCCTAGGAGTGAAAGTGGCTCTTGGCAGGCTGAGGTAGCCAACCTGCTTGTATATACAGCTCAGCAAAGCAAAAAAGTCACTTACAGTATATTTGAGTTGGGTAGCTGGAGATTGTTAAGAGGATTTCGTAACCTTGGAGGTAGAAGGAATTACCCAAGTGGTTGCTTGCTCAGCCTCCATCCATAGCCTGTGTATTCCTGCATACCCTGCCTATTCGACTTCCCATAGAGGAACAGTGGCAGTTCTTTTTTTGCAGACACAGATACTCCATTTTCTACCTTTTAATGCATCTTTCAAGTGGATTTTTTTTTTTTTTCAGGTTTTGAGAGAGAGAAAGTAGACTGCTCCTTTGTGTGCACAGCATGCAGAAATGTTGTCCAGGACGTAAATGAGGTATGCCCTGAAGTGTAGTTTGCTAAGGCAAAGCCTTCTGATTCAGTTGGCAAATCTTCATTCAATTCTGCTGAGTGATGAAGGCATGAAGCCTCAGGCTGTCGTGGATGGAGGGAGGGTGTGTCCCTGCATACTGTCTGTCTCTAGGCTGGAGTAAACGTTTTGCACTATGTTGCAATGGCATTAGCCAGGGAAAGATGTCTGCTTGGTCACAGTAGGGGAGCAGAACATTAAGGAAAGCATCAAAGGAGTGTCTGCCCAAAGAGAAACCACTACAGCATGGATGGAACATGGGCCTGGGGCTTCCATGTATGGCTTTACTCTATGCAAGCCTTCTCCTTGCCTTCCTCCTCCAAGTCAGTGGAACATTGACAATGGAGTTTTTGCAGCTCTACCCCTGCTACTCAAGCTCCTACTTAAATCAAGACAAAGGTAGGTAGCTTTTTTTCCTCTGTTTGTTGGTCTTGTTTCTTCATTTGGTTTTTACTTTTGTATATTTAGCATGCTTGCCCTACACACCACCTTCCCAACCCGGGAGACACCATCAGCATCTTCCTCCTGCTCTGGTCCCTAAACTGAACAGCGACGTGGATCCAGCTCAACCAAGAGCAAGCCCAGGGATGGTGGAAGGAAAGGGCAGAGCTGTTCTCACCTATTGGTGAAAACTTTGCTGTAGTTGAAGACCTGGATCTCCAAGATCTCATTCCCATCAATGTTGCTTGCAACTGGCCAGCGGAAGGTCTGTGGAGAAAGGACAAGAGGGAGATGTCAGGGTGGTTTTGAGGAGCTGCTCTGGAGGCAGTGAGGATAGAGCTGAGGGGACCATGGCAAGATCTTAACCAACTCTTCTTCTTATCTGAAGACAGACAGGACTGTCTTAGAGGGATCTTGCTAAACATGTGTCCTGGTGTCAAATGTATGTATATTTGGGATTCTTTTTTTATGTGTGTTTAGGTTCAATTTCTCCCTATTTTTTTTTTTATTGTAATTTTTATTTTTTTGTGTGTGTGTCTTTTTTTCCCTCCCCAAGCCAAGAAATCACTCTGCCAGGCCAAACCACCTGAGCTTCCTTTGCTTCTCCAAGTCCCCGATCCCTTGCAGCATCCCATAGACAAGCAAACCTCAGACCAAGCTGCTTGGTGCCATGATGGATGGATGTGTGGCTGCATAGGGACATGGTGTCCTGGGTGCTGAGGCAGTGGGACCTGCGTTGTCTGCATTCAGAGCCTTAAAAGGAAAATGCTTGTCAAGCAACTTCACAGGAAGACATTTGTGACTCTTTAGAAATATGCTGACTATCACTTTTGAAGCTAATTTTTTCCCTTTTATGTTTTCTGCAGTGAGTCAAGGAAGCAAATGGGAAAAAAATATCCAGAAATAGAAAACTAGAAATGGCCTTGCAGTAGGGATGTCACTTTTTTTACCCAGTCACACTGCTGGGAATTGTGTTTGCAGCACAGACACACTCTGCTGGAAAAATAAACCCTGGTCCATGCACAGACTCTTTACCACTCAGGAGAAGGGCATTAAGGAAGTTATTATTGGAAAAAATTCATCTCAGAAAAAGCATTGGCACAGACTGCTCAGGAGGTCATTGGGTCACCATCCCTGGAAGTAAGGAACGTGGAGACTTGTCTCTGAGGGACATGGTCAGTGGGCAGGGGTTGGGCTTGGTGATCTACATGGTCTCTTCCAACCATAATGGTTCTATGATTCTGCTTAGGGACACGGTCAGTGGTCAGGGTGGGGATGGGCTGGGGTTGGACTTTGTGGTCTTAGAGGTCTTTTCCAACCTCAATGATTCTGTGATTGTCCTCAGAACATATTTTGGGGAGGAATTGGAACAAACAAGCATCCCTGCTTCAGTTATTAATGCCTGTGGGTGAGTCCCTGCTTCCTGGGCTGCAGCTGGAATAAGGCTGTCCCTTGCCCTCTGCGTTTTATAGCCAAGTTAAACTATGTGACCAATGAACAGATCCTACAGCTCAGGTAGGGCTGCCAGGACAAGGCACAGAAATAACAAATCATCAACTTCCCCCTTGGTTTTAGAGGTTTGTCAGGCAGCAGAACAACAAATAAAGTCACTTGGAAAGCACAGTGACCTAGAAAGGCTCCCAGCATCCCCACTGAGCTTTGCTGAGAGCCTTTCACACCACGAAGCTCATTTGGTTATGTTCACACTGCTGCCAGCAAGCAAATGCCAAAGCCCCACACTGGGGAGGACAGCAAACCTCAGGGATGAGCTACAGTCTACTGTGTTCCTTCTTTCTGGCATTATTTGTGGCCTGATGCACACCGTGCTCTGTGTGCTAGAAGAGGTCTGCAGCCTCAGGAGGAGAAGCAGTGCAGGGAGGGCCACCTATCTGCAGCCACTCATGCAATCTGCAGAGTTTTGCCTGCAATCCTGGGGAAAGAAACATGCTGACATCTCCCCTTTGGGGGGTCGCAGCCTTCCTGTAGTTTCTGGACACCAATTCAGAAATCACTCCAGTTAAAAGAGAGCACCAATTTCCCCCAAATCCACCATCAAGATTATGAACATCACTCATATCCCCAGGCTGAGAACTGGTCTCCAACTCCTCCAGTGCATGGAAAACCATTCCCAGTGGGTTGGGGTGTCAGTCCTGCTCCCCCTCCATCTTATAGACATCCCATGCCCTATGATATCCTGCAGCAGACCTTGCCCATTGATCCCCTGAGGATGCTATGCTCTAAGTCTAATGTAGACTTCAGCTGGATGTAAGGCTGAAGGGAGCCACAGAAAATGGAGAACAAGATCTCTAGCCACCAGACACTGCCATGACGAATGTGGATGTGGGTTGCAGTGGGCTGCCAGGACAAGCTGCCATTGTCCATTCCCCATCTGCTTCATGCCCATGGGGGTTGTCCACACATCCCCAAAGTGGGACTGGGAGCTACAGCAATCCACAGGCACTGTCACCCATCTGGGAGAGAAGGAGCTGGAGGTGCCAGTGCACACCAAGTGGGACACGAGCCAGTGATGTGCCATTGATGCCAAGGAGGTTAATGATGTCCTGTGCTGCATTAGGTGATGAGGGCAGCCCTTGTCCAAGGTGCTGGGCTACTCTGGGTGACACTGTAGGGCAGGGGAGTGACCAGAGGGACCCGGGGGTGCCTCCAGCCCCAAGGATCCCAGGATTCATGCAATCTGTGAGTCACTGATGTCCCTTTAGGATGCTGCCTGGCTGGCTGTTAATTCTCCTTGCTGGTTTTATTATTAAGAGTCTTATTAAAAGCCCTTTGCAAAGCTAAGCAAGCGATGTTTGCTGGGTCAGTTTTATCTGTTTTATTAACGAAGGGAAAAAAAAAAAAAAAAAAGACAGGCAGAGAAATGCCTTTGCAGAATGCAGAAGCCAGATGCTTCCAGCGAGACTGCTTCAAAGGAGCTGGGAAAGGGCATCTCTGCAAGGCAGATCTCCCTTTCCTGCAGCCCCCGGGAGCTTTGGCTGCGTGCTCGCCCTGCCTGCTGCCTCCCAGACTGGTTACTCAGAGACATTTCCAGAAGTTCAGGTCAAGACTGCAGCAATGGGTCTCAGCTTTCTTGGTCATGGCAGTGAGCCTGTCCTAGTTCCTTTAGGAGAAACTGAATTTAGGCAAGAAAGAGCACACGGAAGTCGGTCATAGATTTCCATGCTCAGCACCATCACCAGAGATCTCTGCCTTTCCCATTTTCCCTTGGAGCAGAAACAAGTCAGAGTGCACACAGGATATGATACAACTGTTCCTGACTGTGCTGAACAACCAAAGCACTGCATTCACCCTCTGGAACAGCCAGCAGATTCTCTTCCCCAGGCTCTGGAGAGGCACAGGTTCTGCATAATTCATTAAGCAATGAATAAAGATAATTGCAAAAGAAATAGAGTGAAAACAAACAAATGGAAACCACCGGGGCAGCCCAAATTCTGCCTGGTAGTGACTTCTCCTGAATGTTAAGCAGTGGCCGGGAAGGTGATGGGCTCGGTGTTTCCCTTTAGAAGATCCCAGTGGGAGCTTATCACAGAATGATAGAAGCATCACAGTTGGAAAACAGCTCACAGATCACCCAGTCCAACCCCAACCCACCCCACCATACCCACGTCCCTCAGTGCCACATCCCCATGGTGCTGAACCACCTCCAGGTTTGGTGACCCCTGGGCAGCTGTGCCACTGCATCACTGCTCTTTTGGAGAAGAAATTGTTCCTAATATCCAACCTGAACCTCCCCTGGTAAAACTTGAGGCCATTACCTCTTGTCCCATTACAGGACCAGGCAGATCAATGCTTTCTGCCAGCTTGATGTTAACTGCAATCTTACTGAGGGTGCATTCAATCTCTTCATCCAGATCACCAATAAAGATACTGTGCTGATCACTCATGACCAGCTGCCAGCTGTATGGAACTCCATTCACCACCAAATGAGAGGTTTCATGGGGGAGGAGGAAACAGGGCTGCACTTCAAATGTTTTGATTGCAGCAGAGCTGCAAGTAGCAGCAACCTCACCCCAGCTGGTCCTGCAGGTTTGGCTGAGCTCCCAGCTGGAAACAGGAGCCCAGAAGTGGAGGTTTGCCCTTCCTAACATAGATCACATTGGATCCCCTGGGGAGCATCTCCACAGGTGCCACACTGGGACCTGCATGCTCAGCAGCATTTGGCACACATTTAGGCACCTGAATGCCTTATGGAATGGCTGCACACACCTCATCACATCCAGGCAAGGGGTGCCTGACCACTGCAGCCCCATTGCAGTCACAAAGGGCTGCCAGCTCCACCAGTGCACATCCCCAGGTGGTTGCACTGCAGACACCTCCCACCACACCCAGCATCAGGGCTTGTTTTCTTAGGGCAAAAAAGCTTTAGAAAGTGGTAAACAGTTTAAAAGTCTTCCTGTTCCTTTTAGGATCCTCTGTTCTCCCACCCCTGGGAATGAGTTAACTTCTGTGTGAAACAGAAAATAATCAAAGGAAGCACCAGTTCTCTTTTAAATACGTATTTCCATTTTGAATGTGACTTCTTCATAGCATCTCTATTCCCTGCTTGTGTGGGTGACCTTATTTCAATCTTCTCTGGATTATGTTCTTGATGATGATAGAAAGCAAGGCTGCATTTTGAAACTACACAGAGCTGGGGCTGCAATTCCTTCTTTCAAGCCAAATCCCTTCTCTTTCCCTTCCCAAGCCCAACACTGGCAGCTGGAGGCTGATCCATCAACCTGCAGGCACCCAACACCAGGCTTTGGGATGTGAAGGGCTTTTTCCCCCTCAGGCAAGGGATCTGCAAGCACAGCACTTCTCAGTGCCGACAACACAGGTTGTTGTTTGGGAATAAAGCAAAACCATGCTGCCTGGATCACTGCCACCATGGGAAGTGCAGCAGGGCCACCCCACAATGACACCCCCCTGTTCCAGCCAAGGAATGTTTGGTTCAACAGACCCACTGGGGATGCTGGAGCACATAAAAGTGATGTCAGCACACCTAACCTTGAGATCTTTCCCCAGAACTGCTTTTATCCCACTGTGCTTGCACAGTGCTGCCTTGGGAATCCCTCCTCTCCGTAGGGAGAATGAGAATATGTGTGTGGAGAAGCAGTCATGGCAAACGAAACCACATGTGTGAGATGGAGCAGGAGGAAAACACTGCTCCTCTTACCTCGTCAAACCTGGCCTCATCCTCACAGTTTTCCAGCACTCGGGTGTAGAAGGAGAGCCCTGCAGGAGGAGAGGAGGAACAGGTTGGTTGTGGCAAAGTGAATGGGGGGAGCTGCCCCACATCTGTGCTGTCCTTTGAGATGCTGACATTGGCTTCCCCATGGAGCATCCCCCACAGGGTAATCCTAAATCAGTATTTGTGATTAGAATCTACTTCACAACAGTGCAGAAGGGAAAGTTATAGAAATTCTGATAGTCTCTCTCTGAAACAAATTGAGGCTTTTTACTTCTGGAAAGGAATGCTGTCTCCTAGGTAATAAAAAACACTGCTGAGCAGTCGTTGGTGTTCAAGAAAGCACAGGCAATGCTTAACCAGGCTACACAGAGGCTGGGACACCACTTACTCCTATGGGATCAACTTTTATATTGCTGCAGATTGAAATATCATGATTGTGTGGCTCGTTGTAGGGAGTGCCCAATCCCCTTGGCAAGCCCTTTTTACCTCCATCATGCAAGGAGCAAAAGAAGATCCCTTCTCCAGGTGCTGGCAGACCTTCTGCCCCGTGCAGCAGCAGACCTGGGTGAAGCAAACCCTGAAGGTGTGTGTGTGTCCCAAAACACCTTTGGGTTGTATATTATGAACAATTTCTTCTCAGAAAGAGTGGAGATGTGCTGGCACAGCTGCCCAGGGAGCTGGTGGGGTCACCGTCCTGGAGGTGTTCCAGAACTGTGGGGATGTGGCACTGTGGGATATGTGTGGGATATATGTGTCTCATGCCACTCAGCTCCACCTGCAGGACCAGGAATGGGGCCACCAGATGCACGATCCCAAATGTTCTTGGCTATGGGGATAAGCAGCTCCTTAGCCCTGGTGTCTAAGTGCACTGAGTCTCAGAGCAAAAGCTATGCTAGCAGCAAGACAGCCTCTGGTGCATGGCAAGAGTTAGTAGGGTACCTCCAGCTCTGGGGAATCCAGCCATGGGTGCAGCAGCTACTGGATAGTGCCTGTAGGATGCAATGAGCTGTTATCCAACAGCAGCCCTGAGTAAGCTCAGATCTCACAGGGAAAGAGGAGCTGGCCCCCATGAAATGAGCAGGATGAAGACATTCCATCAGAGGACACCTCCAGTCTTCCCATCCCCATCACACTTCTTTCTACTGAAGCCCCTGGATATGTTCCCACTCTTCCCCCAACAGCAGCTTGCAGAGCAAGGAAATAAAGCCCAACTTCACCCAGATGTGTGAGTGATTTCACCTTCAGAGCCCAGAGCTGGGAAGCTGCAAGGGCAGCAGATGTGAGGCTGTGCAGCCTGGAGCACTTGCTGGGGAGTGACCAATGCCTCGTGAATCAGTGAAGTTCCAAACCAGCCCCGTGTCTCCTAAGAAGAGTTAAGCAGCTCACAGACAAAAGACTTTGGATATGATATCCCAGCCTTGCAGGTGCAGGTGGCCCTTGGCTCAGTGTCTCCTGGGTGCCCAGTGAGCCAAGTCCCATGCCATGGTGGGAGGAGAGCCCCTGATGCTTGGGGTTGGATATTGGCTGCAAGGAGCACCAGAAGGAGAGCACTGACATGATCCAGCAGTGTTGCTCTGCAAATGCCTTCTGTAAGACCCACCAGTTGCTGTGTGCTGTGCGAAGGGATTGTGGTTTTGCTCAGAGATGCAATACAGGGATTGAAGAAGGTACACCTGGCTGAGATAGCTGGGGACTAGAAATGACCTGCACCAGGATGTGCTGGTGGAGGACTCCTTGCTCCAGTAGTGAGGTTGCTCTAAAGGGGTGTCTCTAGAGTCACTGGAAAAAAGCAAGAGACTCTTCCCACAAGATTTCAACCCAAAAACTGTGTGTCCACGTTGGGATGCTCCCCTGAGCCTGGCATTGAAGTCACAGAACACCAGGACCCTGATATGGTTGAGATTGCTGGGTCCCTCTGGTCCCCTTCTGCCCCCAGCAGGGTCACCCAGGGCAGGGTGCCCAGCACCACAGCCAGGAGCTGTTGGAGATGCCCAAGGAGGAGATTCCACAGCCAACCTGGGCAAAACCAACAGGACCAAAAACACAAGAGCTTCACAGCAGCTATGAACTCCATACACCCTGATTCTGCTCCTTGCTCCCAAATGATTATGGGGCAAGGGGAAAACAAAGGCTGAGCCACAGAGATGCTAAACACAAGCAAGCAGTAAATACCAAGGAGCAGACCAGCTTGACAAAAAGACCGTATTGCTGCTGCACTCTGAGCTCCTTCTCCCCATGTGATGCAAATGCAACACCTGGCCCAGGAATAAGGCACAGGCTCTAGCTGATGGGTCAATCCTTGTTCCTGCCTCACTATTAGTAACACACACAAAATCCTTGGTGTTTCAGAAAAAATACCTTCCCATAAAAAGATTGTACAACTTTGTTATCATCCCAAAGTGATCATCCCAGTCCCTGCCTTACAGCAGAGCAATGCAACAGAGTCCTGTCCCAGCTTCATACCAGAACCAGGGTCCACCCCCCTGAGGTTTTGCCAGCTACAATCTCAGGATCCAACCCTGCTGGGTCTGATCACTGGAAGCTTCTCCTGTCAGACTGGGTTTGATGGTGACATTGAGTGTCCTGGTCACAAATCCCATGGGTGCTTAGGGTGAGCAGAGGGAGAAGCATCCCCAACAGCATACAGAGGTGATCTCTGCTCTATGCATGAGGCTAAGCACCCTGTTTGCCCAGCAGCTGATGGCAGCAGTCTGCCAGGCAAAACATTCCAGCACAGGGGAAGGAAGCACTGTTCTGAAGTTTGGTGTCACCCTGCCCAGAGTGACAGTGACAGCAATTCTATGTGCAGGAAGAAAACAGGGATGGAAACATGGGGTGGTGTAGCAAAGGAACATCCCAAAGTGGGGTTCACCCCCCTTTTCCCAGTGCATAAATTCCTCTCCCCAGGGCAGTGAGGGCTCACACCCCTTCTCTTCCTAAGTGCAACCATTGGGGAGCATGAGGCACAGCCCATCCCGGGACCAACCCCCCTCCACCACTGCCCCCTCCCCATACCTCGGAAAGCCGCTTTGGCGATGCGATCCGCTCTGCCGCGGAGGCCGGAGACGGTGCGGAGCTGCAGCTGCAGAGCCATGGTGTGGGGCAATGCGTGGGGATCCGTGCGACGCTGAGGGTAATGCTCAGTGCAGTGCTCGGTGCAATGCTCAGTGCAATGCTCACCGCGCTCCCAGCTGTGCTCCGAGGCACAACGCGACGCACACCCCCCTCCTCCAGCACCGAATTCTTCAATTATTCAGCAGCAGCACCGCCTTCCCCTTCCCTCCCTGGAGATGGAGGTGGTTGGGGGGGGGGAGGGGGGGGGTCGGGCTGCAGGAATCGCCCCTCTTCAGTTGTTAGGGTTTGGGAGAGGGACTCCATTAGGGAAACTGAGGCAGCGCTCCCCCTGGGAATGAGACATCAACCTGGGAGCACTGCAAGCTGAAACCTGGGAGTCAACCATATCACTAGGAAAGGACATGAGGAGTGGGTGGCAAGGGGCGTAGATAACAGCTTGACAGTGTCAGCTTGGTATGTAGAGGGTCGTGCCTGGTAGGGCTGCACATCGTACTGTTCTTGGAACCTTAAACTCATCCTTTATTTTGAGGAAGACGATCAGCAAGCACAGAGACAGGGCTGTGAGCCCAATACATCTTGCTTCCTGCTTGGAAAATTCACAGAAGAGCCCATTTGTAGTGAGGAGTGAACCCGAGAGGGGTTCAGCATTGTTGGAGAGAGACAGTGAGGGTGAAACCTCCGCAAATGAGTAATAAAGCCCTGGAAATGAGGCATGTCCTTCCATCTACATTTGTCTTACCAGTGGAAAAGATCCCTGTGCTCATTCACAAGTGCGTAAGAATGAAGAAACTTGTGGAGATTAATAGTGCTCATTAGGCTCAAACTGCATGATTTTTTTTGGTTCCCAGTTGGTCTTCCTCTGCTGAGCTGCACGAAGTGGTGCTGCATCTGCAGCCCGTGCACCTTCTGTACCACATAGCTAATTAGAAACCTCTTGCTCAATAGCAGAAAGTTGATAGCGAAGTACACTCAGCACGAGGAGCGTTGGCTGGGGATGCTCATAGAACAGTGCAGGTGGGTGGTGCAAGGTGGGCACCTGAGAGCTGCACCAGCTTTGAGAGAGGGACCTGATAAGGAATGGATGTGCTCATTCCTGGTCTTTATTTATGCGGAATCCCAAGGCAGGGTTTAATTCTACTGCTGGAAATTGGCAGGCAGAGGGCTCATGGGGAGTGGTGAAGCGTGGTGTTACCCTCAGACTCAGGGCAAAGTAGGAAAATAGAAATTAGGATAGAAGATGATGTGCACACGTTGCTGTGTGTCCTCCCTGGGGATCCCCAAAGCCTCTGTCCGTGGTGCTGAGGGACCGGAGGGCCCCAAGGGCATTTCCAGCCCCAAACACCTGTGGAGCACATCTGTAGTTCTCCCGGATGGATCTGGGCTGTATCCACATCTCTGCACAGTGCTGCTGATGTTTGTCTGCTCAAAACTAAAGATTCAGCGCTCCTTTGGATGGGGAAAGATCTCCACCTGTAGCCGTGGGGATTTGTCTATCCATGACACAGTTAAATTGGGTAATGAAGACAAGCAGGAATAACATGTCCCTGGAGACACTCAAGGTCAGGCTGGATGGGGTTCTGAGCACCTCATGGAGCTGTGGGTGTCCCTGTTCATTTCAGGGAACTTGGACTACATGGCCTTTAATGGTCCTTTCCAACTCGAACCATTCTATGCCTCTATACAGGGCAATAACACAGGAACCCAATTGCAAAGAAGCCAACCGAACACACAGACTGTTGAGGTATAGTGGATCCAAAATGTGCCCTCCAGTCTGGGAGAGGAAGGATCTGCCTGTGGTTCCAAACACAAATTTCAGTTTTCATGATGTCTCTGCATTTTTCGCATTGCTGCATGTGAATAGAATTACACGCCCACCTCTGAATCACCAATGATTTTTCTTATTTACCATGGCCTTACACCAGAGCTAAAGAGGAAAGTGTGGCTTCACAGGGCAGGATCAGGCCATTACCAGTCTCCCTACACCTCCCATGGCACCAATATCCATTACAATAAATCCAACCCAACCACACATCCCAAAGCAATCACTGCTCTTATGATGATGCTACAGAACTTTAAGTCCAGAATTAATGAATTTTTCTCTTCTTAACTCCTTTTCTCTCATTTTTTTTCCAGCTCTCCTCCTCCCACGCTTGGAAAAAAAAAATCATTATCAGCCTCCCCCTTTGTCACACCATTAAGAGCCTTGATATTAATTACAGTGAGTTGCTGTGTTTTTCTGTTCCCCATTGTTGTGGGCAGCACCAGCACCTTATCCCTGCAAGCGAGCATTGCTCTGCTCCCAGTCCCCACCTTTCCCATCCCAGCTCTTCCCAAATTGCTGCAAGCTGCCGTCCCCCCTGCACTGAACCTCTTTCATGCTGAAGGGTTTGGGGGATGCAACTGTCATGTGTGTGAGGCATTGTGGGATAATCACTTATTACAGCATCATCTGTAATTCTGAGTGCTGCAGTGGGCGGCTTTTGCATGTGTGTGTTGGTCTTGGGAAGAAAAGGGAGAAATGCTGTGGAGGCAGTTTCTGTATGTAAGCAGGAGGGTGAGAAAATGCAAGGGCTTGCTAAGAAACCTCTCCAAAGGAAGTCAGTGCTTGCCATGTGTACCACTGAGTTCCGCAGACTGTGCATCTCACCGGGTGCAGCCATCCCACAGCTGCAGGGATGGCAAAATCTTCACAGAGTTCCAGAGAAAGGGAAATATCTTCTGGGAAGAGCTGCTCTGGGCATGCACTGGAGTCCCAGGCTCTCCAGCAGGTTCTGCAGTGCTTTATTTGCAGAGCAAACCTCTGCAGAATAGAGGTGCCATGGCCAGCAGCCTTTGGCCTTTCCACCCCAGCTGTAGGAATCCTGGTCCCCTGTCAACCAGAAGCTTCAAAGAGTGCAGCCCAGCTCTGGCTCTTGGTAAATCCATTTGGCCTTTTGCATCATTTTTCATTTTCTTTCTCTTCTGCCTCTGGTATCCTCTGAGACAGGTTGGAAAGCTGTGGTTGCAAGCCCAACAGCCTTCCACCCTTTTTTAAATGCCAGCACTGTACTTGTTACTCAGCAGTGCAGTAGCTTCCTCAATGGGTGGATTTTTTTATTATTTTTCTCCTTAAAAAAAAAAAAACAAAAAAAACAACAAAAAAACCCACAAATTTTGACATAGAGGTTCTTGCATTTTCTTGAATTCAGTACAACCAACATGAGCATGGTGGTGATGGATTGATGGTAGGACACAATGATCTCGAAGGTCTTTTCCAACCTCCATGATTATACAATTCAATGAATCCAGCTTTCCTAATCCAGAAGCAGGCTGTCAGGATGCACAATGCTTTCCCAGGAGAGATCTCCCATAGCAAAGACCATGTGCAAACCCCAGCCACCTTTCACACCAGTCCCGCACTGGCTGAATGGGGCAAAGTGGAAAATAATTGAGCAGTTCAGGCCACGCTCTGGTCGGTCAGGATGCACTGCCAAAAGGTCTTCTCACCATCTGGGTTCCAATTTTATTTCCTTTTCCTTTTCATCTCATTCTTTTATTATTATTCATTTAGATATTCATTTGTTCATTTGTTCGTTCATTCGTTCATTCATTCATTTGTTCCTTCCTTCATTCATTTGTTCCTTCATTCACCCATTTCTTTGCAATATCTCAGACCTCAGGCCAAGATGCAAATAAAGAGCAGCCCCTCTAGTTCCCACACATCCCCGTGACTGAGTGCTCATCCTTGCAGGTCCACTGGGGTTGTTTTAATTGAATATGCATCTGTCTGCTTGTGCAATTGCTTTTACATTGGTTCTCCATTGGCAATTGGCAACCCTGCACATAGCAGGGAGTTTGAAACTCGATGATCATTGCGATCCCTTTCAACCCAGGCCATTCTATGATTCCTAAAGGCCTTTTGGGACAGGTCTATGGTTACACTGCTGGGACAGGAGAAGAGCCCACAGTTCCTCTTACAGAAAGAGTTGATTAAAAGAAAAAGAAAAAAAAAGAAGAAGAAAATATCTAAAGAATGTCGCCAACATGGAGACAGTTCTGCATTCCCCACGGAACGCAGGGTGAGGGCAGGGTGCAGGGTTTGTTGGGGTGCAGGCAGTGGGAATAGGTGATGTTCACAATGGGGGCGAAGGGAGTGTCAGGGTGCTGGGGTTGAGTTCTTCCTGTTGCCTGGTGATGGTGTTTGTGAGCCAGCTGAGGTGGGGACAGAACAGAACGGGACAGATCTAGGTTGGGCTGAGGTAACTACAGTGCAGGGACCCTCTGCACTCAGGTTTCTGCTGGAGCTGGCTAGGGGCTGAGCATGGTCACATTGCACCCTGCAGCCTGCATAGACCCTGCATTCTGCATGGACCCAAAACAACCCTCACTCCTGCGAGTATCACTGAGCTCCTGCTCATCCTCACTTGTAGACAGAGCTATGGTCATAGGATACGTATCTATAAAAATAATTCTCCTCTGCTCATTTGAGAGCATCATTTTGAGGCATCCCACTGACAGCTCGCTGCTCGTTTGTGTCTGAAGGGCTCTCAGTGCTTTCACCCCTAGAGCTGATTTGCTGCCAAATTTTCCCCATTCCCTTCCAACCAGCTGCTCTGGTAAATAGCAAATTGTGGCCAGGCTGCAGATAAAAGCAAGGAGAAAGAGCAGCAGTGGGAACAGACAGGGCACCTAGCTGAGATATATGTATTAACGACCTTCTCTTTTGAAAAATCGGCTTTGTGCTTCAATGAGCAAAGCCCTGGTGCTGAACCTCGCTCAGATACGATCAAAGGGTTCAGTGTGCAGCGTGCAAATCGCTGCTTCTGGTTCCAGATGCACCGTGAGGGCTGGGCAGGAGCAGTCCCTCTGCTGCACGGCTCTGTCAGCAGCGTCCCCTTGCCCAGGGAACCCTTAAAATGCAAAACATGATGCTGAAAAGGGAAAATGAAAACTAACTCCGTGTTTCCCTTGCAGGTAACAGAGCACATACCGAGCACAGCACTTTTCCTCTGAGAAACCCCACCACGATGAGCCCGCAGC